GACCAAGTTTATTCTTTTCCATGTGGATATCCAGTTGCCCCCTCACCATTTGTTGAAAAGACTATATGCGACCCCTTTGAATTGTCTTGACACCTTTGAAAAATATCAATTTAGTATAAATGTTGGGTATATTTCTGTACTCTCATCTATTTCATTGATCTCTATATCTGTTCTTGTGCCAGTACTACACTCATTTGGTTACTAAAGGCTTATAGTAAGTTTTAGATTCAGGACGTGTGAGTCCTCCAACTTTGTTCTTTTGCAAAACCATTTTGGTTATTCTGGGCTTTTTGGATTTCTGCATGAAATTTAGGATCAGCTTATCAGTTTCTGCCAAGAAACAAGCTAAGAGTTTTGATAGGAATTGTGTTGACTCTGAATCAATTTGCATAATATTATTATCTTAACAATATTAAATTTTCTGATCCACAAACATGAGATATCTTTTTATTTAGTTAGGTCTTTACTTTCTTTCAACAATATTTTGCAGTTTGCAGTGTACAAGTCTTGAACTTCTTTTGTAAAATGTATTCCTGAGGATTTTGTTCTTTCTGATGCTACTTAAATGGGATTGTTTTCTTAATTTTATTTTCAGAAAAACAGTTGACTTTGTATATTGATCTTGTATCCTGCAACATTGTTGAATTCATTTACTAGTTATAATAAGTTTTTTGTGTGGATTCCTTATATATATATAAAATCTTGTCATCTGTGACTAGTTTTAATTTTTCTTTCTAATCTGAATGCTTATTTTTTCTCTAATTGCTCTAGCCCTCAGTATACATGTTGCATGGAAGTGGTGTTTGTTCTTAATTGTAGGATGAAAGCATTCAGTCTTTCACCATTAAGTACATTAATTATGGGTGTTCCATAAATTTCTATCAGTTGTTTGAGAAAGTTCCTTCTTATTCCATATTTGTTAAATGTTTTCTTTTTTATAATGAAAAGGCGTTGGATTTTGCCAAGTGTTTTTTCTTTTTCTTTTTTTTTAAAGATTTTTATTTATTTATCAGAGAGAGAGAGAGAGAACAAGCAGGGGGAGCAGCAGAGGGAGAGGGAGAAGCAGGCTCCTCACTGAACAAGAAGCCCAATGTGGGACTCGATCCCAGGACCCTGGGATCATGACCTGAGCTGAAGGCAGACGCTTAACGACTGAGCCACCCAGGCGTCCCACCAAGTGTTTTTTCTGTGTCTATTGAGATGATTATGTATTTTTTCAAAACTTTATTCCATTAATATGGTGTATTACATTGACTGATTTTCATATGTTGACTCAGTCTTGCATTCCTGGTACGAATTCCATCTGGTAAGGTGGATTTTTTTTTTTTAATATATATGTTACTGGATTTGGTTTGCAAGTATTTTGTTGGGAATTTCTGCATTTCTGTTTTTTGAAAGTTTATGAAATATTGATGTTAATTATTCTTTACATTTTCAGTAGACTTCACTAGTGATGCCATCTGGTTCTGTTTTTTTTTTTTTTCTTTTTCCCATGTAAGTTTTTTTTTTAAGATTTTATTTATTTATTTAACAGTGAGAGAGAAAGAGAGAGTGCACAAGCAGGGGGAGTAGCAGAGGGGGAGGGAGAAGCAGGCTCCCCGCTGAGCAGGGAGCCTGATGCAGGGCTTGATCATGACCTGATCTGAAGGCAGACTCTTAACCAACTGAGCCACCCATGTGCCCCAAGAAGTTTTTAATTACTCTTTACTTGTCATAGGTCTATTCAGATTTTCTATTTCTTCTTCAGTCATTTTCTGTAGTTTTTATCATTCTAGGAATTTATTTCATCAGGTTATCTAATTTTTGACATACAGTTTTTCATAGTGTTCCCTTTAATCATTTTTTAAAAATTTCTGTTAGATTGGCAGTAATATTTACTCTTTTATTGCTGATTTTAATAATTTGAGTCTTCTCCTTTTTCTCTATTTTAACTTTTTACAAAGCAAATGTATCCCTGTGTCTATTGTGTAATTAAAAAAAAAAAGAAAAGAAAAGAAAAGAAAATACATACAAAATAGAAAAGCATATCAAAATGGGGATCTGGGTAAATTGGTAATTCCCTGGCATTATTTCTCCTCTATGGGCCTAGGTTTCTTCATCAGGAAGTTGATATGTTGGTTCATTTTTGCTGAAGTGGTTGAAAGCCTCTAGCTCTATTATTTACATGATCAAGTGTGGGATTAAAGACCATGGTTGGGAATATTTGTGGACAGAAAGTAGACCAGTTTGGGAGAAGCCCAGTATTCCTGAAGGACATAGTAGAAGCTAAGGATGGAAACGCAAATTGAAGCCAAATTATGGTATTGTTTGAATTTTAGGGTAAAAGATTTGGACTTGCTAATGAGGAACTATTGTGGATTTTGGAGCCTGAGACTAGCCAATCAAAGTGATAGTCAAGGAAATTGTTCTGATAATGATATATGGGAGGGATTAGACCTGGGAGATAACCCAGGGAAATCACCTATAGAGTCAGGGCCATGACAGTGGGAATGGAATAGGAAGATATGAGGACCAGAGTATTCTCTGATTTGGAAAGCACTCCCTGGAACTGCTGAGGCAGGAGGGAGGGGGGGAGCAGTTAGTAGTCTTGCTCATCCTTGTGTCTCTCATAGTTAGTGGTGAGGCAAAGAATAGATCCAAAATAGATTTTTGTTAAATTGCATTGCACTGACCCAGCTTTGCTTAGAGTTCAATAAAGGCTGAAGAAAATAGTCTTCAAGTACTCTGAGAGGACTTCCAGGAAAGTCTTCCAACTTGCCAGTCTCTAGACATTGCCTGTCTGAACCTCACTCCCACAGATATCCTGTGCTCCTTCCCACTGGAACTGTTTCAGAGAGTCATCTCATTCCAGCCACCCAAAAGCCCATATTTTGAGTTGACTTGTCTTAAACTCCTGAGAAGAAAAGAAAGGTTTGTTTCATTTTAAATCTCTTAAAGGCCTGCCTATGGTACAATTTTTATAGCAGAGCTTAGCTTACTTTGTGAAAAGCTGATAAAGCTAATGAATTATTATAGGATGAGGCTTTTATTGTTTCACATAGTCACCTATATGTATATGATGCCCTTGCATCAATGCCTTAGAATCACCTTTTTGAACAGATCTGTTCCTTGACTAATCATTCCTCCTCATTGCCTACTGATTGTATTAAAGGGCAGCTGTTAGCATATTGAAGACACAAAGTTGACCTTTGAAAGATGGAAAGAAATTTCCAATAGAACATTTGTAGAGGATGAAAGGTTCTGAATGGAGATACATTTTTGCACATTTGGCTGTGTATGCAAAGTGCATTAAAATGAAGTGAGTCTTACTTGCTTTGGCCTGTGGCAAATAAATTGACTATATGCTGGTGCCATTTTTAGGTTTGCTGGGTGGTAAACATACCCCCCATCCTCTGTGAGGCAAAAAGAGAGAGGAGAATATACAGAGTGGAGAAATAACTACTGTTCCTCTAGCTTCATCCCAAAGCCTCTATCCTCCCAAGGCCACTTACCAACAGGCCTTTCTGATGGCAGAAATAGTGATGCATCTAAATTGCTTGATCTCAGCTTTGGGAGGCAGGAAAGTGGAGAAAGCTGGCATGGGGGTGGTATGGAAAGGAAAGATAGATCGTTGATTAAAGCTGTTGAGACAACTGACAAGCTCTTTGGGCTAATTCCCCTGGCAGATTTTACCATTCTTCCTAAGGTTCCACCCTTCCCTTTTTCCCTAACCCTCTGGTCTTCCTCCTTCCAAGGACTAGGGTGAAATGAGCCATCTCCCTGATTTAAGCTGTCATCCCAGATGCAGAAACATCTCACTCAGCCTCCCCAAAGGAGGTTTTCCTGCATCCCTTTGCCTTCATGTGTATAGTTTCAACACTTACCAACTGTATGTACCCATTTCTGATGATTCTGATAATTCTCAGCTCACCTTGGCCCAAGCCCTTCCCTACTCTTTTCCTGTTTTCCTTAGAACCAGAGGTGCAAAGTTGCTAGTACAGTGGTTAAGAGCACAGGCTTTGAAGTCAGACCACCTTGTTCCTATCCCAGCTTTTCTGCTATCCTAACTGTGTGACTTAGGACAAATTCCTTAACTTTTTTGAACCTCAGTCTCCTCTTCTGCGAAATAGAGGCAATAATGGTACATGCCTGGCAGGACTGGGTAATACAGTTCATTGAAAGCTCTTAGCATAGTGATTGCTGTATAGTAAGTGCTCAATCAGCTATTGCTGTTATGTGGTGTTGCTGTTTATGTGATGACATTCTGTCATCTCCACTCCAACATTGAAGATGTAGAGATCTTTACATACCCAAGGCGTTTTACAGTCAAATTTTAATTATTATTTGTACATCTTTTGATGTAAATTAACACTGAAGGTCCTGTTTTCAAGATGCCCACTCCAATATCCAACTTTGGTCTTCAGGCTCATAGGTGTTGTGTTTGATCCAGCTGTGGCATATGCCCAAGATATATAGCTTAGTCTGTTTTTTTTTTTTAATCCAGCTGTGCTACCTAGATATGCTCAAGCACAAATAAGTACTGTTTGGGGTACCTGGGTGGCTCAGTCAGTTAAGTGTCTGCCTTCGGCTCAGGTTGTGATCTCAGGGTCCTGGGGTCGAGCCCCACATCAGCTCTCTGCTCGGTGGGGAAGCTGCTTTTCCCTCTCCCTCTGTGCACTCTCTCTCTCTCAAATTCAAAACAAAACAAAACAAATGATTTCTGTTTGCCATAACTCTTTTCTTCTCTGAAATCTTACACAAGAAGCCTCTCAGGGATGACTTAGTTGTATCCTTCTGCATCCTCCATTTTACAGATAGGTCATCAGAGGCCTAGAGAGGATTAAAATCATGCATAAAGCCAGCAAGCCACCCTAGAGCCACACCTGGCATTCAGTTACAGGGGCTTCTGGTTGAATGTTCTTTGAATACTTGAAGAATTTAGTTTATCCTTTTTGTACTTGGCTAGAAACTTTTCAAAGAAGGAAACTACTCTATTATTATTCTTTTGCCTGCTTCCACAGCTCTGGGTGAACCAGGAAGATGGGGTGGAGGAAGGGCCCAGTGATGTGCAGAATGGGCACCTGGACCCCAACTCAGACTGCCTCTGTCTGGGCCGGCCACTACAGAACCGGGACCAGATGCGAGCCAATGTCATCAATGAGATCATGAGCACCGAACGTCATTACATCAAGCACCTCAAGGACATTTGTGAGGTAGGCCCAGCTATGATAGTATATGTGGGGGCACCCAGGGTGGGGTAGAGGGCCTTTTCATGAAGAATCAACAACTTTCCTGAGCTGTACCTGTGACAGTCCCAAGATATTGGAAAGAGCAGCTGGATTGGCCTCCTATATTCTGCTCAGTGGGTAAAACAGGAGCTTCTCAGTCCCTATAGCAGTTTCTCTTTCTCTGTCTAACTTTTGTCTTTCATCCTCATATTCCTTCTCTCTCTATCTCTCCCTGCTTCCCTCCCCCATCTTCCCTTCCCTGAATCTCTGCTCCTATCCTTTTGGCTTCTGATTTGGTTGTTGCCACACCATGTAAAGGCCTGACTTCATTTGTTAAAGCACAAACATATCTCCCTCCAACTCAGTGGTTCACAAACTTGAATGTGCACCAGAGTCCCTGGAGTGGCTTGTTGAACATGCAGATTCCAGCCCCCTCTGCCTCCCCAAAGTTGTGAAATCTCAGTCTGGGGTAAACCAAGGCATCTCTACATTTAACAGGCATTCCTGGTGAAACTGATGCTGTTGGTCCTCGTCCTTCACTTGAAGAACACTGGTTTTGGGTTTGAACAGAAAAGAGCTTAGGGGGAGGAATGTATAGGAGATAAAGACTGAGTGGATAAGTCTCAGCTCCTTCAGCATGCCAGTTTGCTCCCCAGGAGCTGTGGCTCCACATTCCCTAACTCTATCCCTTCCATCTCGCTAACCTGAGTAAGAATGAGAGCCCTTTTTTTCATACTCTCTTGAGCTCATGAGACAAGTTGACATTTTCAAAGGGCATTTTACTAAACAGTTTGGGAATACCAGTGGGAAATGGAGGAAAGAATGTTTTTAAAAAGATTTCTCTCTTTCTCTCTCTCTCTCTCTCAAACACACACACACACACACACACACACACACACTCAAATGGCATCCTGCTTGACCCAGGGAAAACTCTACTTTGAATATGTTTATCCCCTTCTTTCCAGATGAGGGGTCAGGTCCTACTTTCTGTCCCCTAAGTGCTATTGAGTGAGGTCAGGGCCCACTCTGGAATCAATAATATAGTTTTAACACTTTTTAAAGTTCTTGCTTCTTTAGAATATTGTTACCCAATAGAACTTCCTGCAGTGATAAAATATATCTGCATTCTCCAACACGGTACCCATTAGCTAGCCATCTGTGGCTATTGAGTGGTTGAGATGTGGCTAGTATGATTGAGAAATGGGATTTTAAATTTTATTTAATTTTAATTTAAATAGACACGTGACTAAATGGCACCCACATTGGACAGTGCAGATCTAGAAAGATCAAGGCCAAGGACTATGGGCCTTAACTTTTTTCACCTCAACTCATTTTTTCATCTCTTCCAGGAAGGTTAAAGGTAGAGTAGAAAGAACAAGGACTGTGGGGACATGGAATGCTGGCTTTCACATCCTGACTTAGTCACTTAGGAATCCTGTAGCCTTGAAGTTGCCCCTTAACTCCTCTGACTTTTGATTTTTCTGATTTGTCCAGTGGGCTTGATTATACCCAACTCTTAGTTTTGTTGATAAAACTAACTAAACATAATATTATAATTATTTGTAAAAATGTAGTTTTCCTTTCCTTTTCATCTATTCACCCAACCATCCATGTCTCTCGTTTCTCTTTTCCTCTTCCTTACCTCCAAACAAATAGCTGAAAATTACCCTCTGAAATGTGCTATGTGGCATTGGACATCAAACCACTGACATGTCATTCATTCAGCAAACATATAATAGAGTTCTGCTCCATGCTAGCTTTGGACATAGCTCTTACCCTCAAAGTGCTCTGCCCTAGACTGGCATCTGAATCACCTGGGAGCTTGTTAGAAATGCAGAATCTTGGGGCACCTGGGTGTCTCAGTCGGTTAAGCATCTGCCTTCGGCTCAGGTCATGATCCCAGGGTCCTGGGATCGAGCCCCACATTGGGCTCCCTGCTCGGCCGGAAGCCTGCTTCTCCCTCTCCCTCTGCCACTCCCCCTGCTTGTGATCTCTCTCTCTCTCTCTCTGTCTCTCTGTGTGTCAAATAAATAAATAAAATCTTAAAAAAAAAGAAATGCAGAATCTTTAGCTCCACTCCAGACCTACCAAGTACAATTCTGCATTTTAACAAGGTTCCTATTTGACTTACATTATATATTAAAGTTTGAGGAGCACTGCTGTAAAATGGTAGCTGTCTTATAATGTCATAGAGCCTATAATATAAGTACAGTCCATTCTTTACCTGACAGCTGAGGGATGCTATCAAGATCTAAGTTGGGTCATATCACTCCTCTGCTCCATCTGATGGCTGACAATCTCTCCTTGAGTAAAAGCCAAGCTCTTACTATTATTTACAAAGTCCTGTGTGATCAACCTATTCTTACCTCTATCAACCTATTCTTACTTCATCTCCTTCACCTTTCCCATATTCTGTCCCTACTCCAGACACTCTGGTCTCTTGCTGTTCCTAGAAAAATATCTGGCATACCCCCTTCCACAGACTTTGGACTGACTTTTCTCTCTGCCTAGACCACTCATGTCTCCCACCTTCACCTCCTTCAAATCTTTACTCAGATATCACCTTCTCCTTGAGATCTTCCTGAATTTTCTACTTAAAATTGTAATTGCACTGTCTCTTCCTCTTTCCTGCTTTATTTTCCTCTATTGTACTTATTGCTATCTGACATATGTTTTGCTTATATGTTTTCTTTATTGTTCTTCTCTCCTACAGAATGTAAATTCCATGGGGGCAGGGGATTTTACCTGTTAATTTACTGATATATCCCCAATACCTAGCACAGTTCCTGGCACATGGGACAAGTTCAGTAAATATTGTTGAAAGTTAGAATTAAATACAAGTGCTCACATGCATGTATTAACTTTGGCAATGTATATTCACATCTTATGCCATGTGATTTTCAGACAGGGCAGAGGTTATTAGTGTTATTCGTATTTTCTAGATTAACAGACTTGAGTCTCTAAGAGACAAAATTACCTTCTCAGAGTTCTCTCAGGCAGTGGCCCAGTGAGAGTCCTTTAGTCTTAGAAGGATCTTCTGTTCTCAACTCCCAAACATCTTGGCCTCTTCTTACAGGGCACAAGCTCAGGACAGCAATAGAAGTATTCATCTTTCCAGAAGAGGGAGTGTTATGTCCCTGCTTTGAGAACTTTCCCAATCCAGCCAAATCAAGTAACGCTTTTGTTGGTGATCTGCTCATTCCATATTTCTCAATTATTCTTGGTGCTGAAGTTAAAGGTTTAAATGGGAAGAATCTCTTTGTCCCACCTTGCAACCACAGTGTCATAAAGTTTAGCTAGAACAAAAGAAGGATGGAGAAATCTGTGTCTAGCTGGACCAGAAGACAGTATTTTAGTCCAGGATTGTGTCACCTCTAAACCAAAGCTGTAAGTAACAATATGGTTTATCATAGAGAATACCAGACTCAGAATTGGGAGTCCCAGGTTCAGGACCCACCTTGGTCACTGATTGGCTGAGGAATCTCAGGTGAATGTTTTCCATCATGGGCCTTGTTCCCCAACTCTAAAATGAGTGGGTCAGAGGGTTTGCTCTTTAAGTGCTGTCTGGATCTTATGTTCTTTTTTTTTTTTAAGATTTTTTTATTATTTATTTGAGAGAGAGAAAGAGAGATAGCGACAGAGATAGAGAGAGCATGAGCGGAAAGGAGAGGGAGAAGCAGGGTTCCCACTGAGCAGGGAGCCTGATGCCGGGCTCAACCCCAGGACCCTGGAGTCATGACCTGAGCCGAAGGCAGATGCTTAACCGACTCAGCCACCCAGGTACCCCTGGATCTTATTTTCTGTGATTCTATACAATCTAAATATATTCTTACTAAAGAAAGCTGTGGTAGTGATCCAGGTTACTTTTGCATTTTCTGCTGTTTTCTTCTTGGTACCCATGAAGGCATGTTTTACTCAGGCATGATTGTGTTAACATCAGGCATGAATGTGTTCATATGGTATATCTACTCTTTCTGAAAATTAAGGGAGACCTCTAAATACTTCCTAATCTTGTGCTTTTGAAAAGGAAATGGGAGACACTGCATTCAGTATAAAAAAAGTCACTATCTATTAAAAACTATACATATTCATAGATATGTATTTATTTTTATATATTTACTCTATTTAATCTATATATCTATAATATATGTGGCATATATGATTAAATAGGATATACATCATGTTATAATTTTATAATTATATATTATAGATTATATATATCATATATATTACATATATATTTACTCCTGGGAACAGAAAATGCTTTACAAACATTTAAGTTACAATACCTTCATTTTACAAATGAGAAAATAGGAAATAAAGTATTTTTTATCAAAGTCATTCTGTGAGGCCAGTAAGATAAAAGAGCTTTTTTAATGAGTTCTTTGCAAAAGATGACATTTTTCTTTCTAAATCCAGACAGTGGGATAAAATAGCCTTGTTTCACTTCTAGGTCACCTTGAACAGTGATTGGTGGTATTACCTCTTGTAACCTTAGAACTCACTGTATAATCAGGGAAACTGAGACAACAGGGTAAGCAAAGCTAAAGATGCCTTATAAAGTTGCCTAGTATGCCTCTCTTAAGGAACATAATCTCAGTCATCCCATACCTGTGAAATACATTCTGTTCTCAAATTCCTCCAGAGAAGCTGGACTGCCTTTCCTCAGTCATTTGTATTAGTGTCTCATACCTGTTAACATTAAGAAATTCTTCCTTAGGTCTGATTGAGTAGTGATTTCCATTTGATATGCTTGAGCCTGGGGTTTCCAAACTTATTACCTGTTTGGGTTTTCCTTTCTGTAATTACCTATCCTGATGTTTCCCAGTTGTCTTTTCATCTCTGTGTGCATATAGCAAATAACACATTGTAAAATGGTAATATTTGTATAAGGATAAGGCAGTTCAGCCGCTTGAAGTGACCATCCCAGGGGTTTCTGGCTGCCCATGCCCTATCTATTCACCTGGTATTACCTGGACACCCCA